GCTAGAGTGATGGTTAAGTGAACAGAATTCTGATAGGCATTCAGGAACTTCACCTTCAACAAATTGACACAGGTGCTCGATGTTGGAAGACGATGTTGATCACCGCCAGCATCGCGTATTGCAAAATTAGGCACTAGTTCTTTGAACCCCCTATGCCTCTACACTTAGATCACAGAAAGATAATGAAAATCAAGAATCTTACAGTAATGGAGGTCTGCTGCAACTTGTCACAAAGCGAAGAAGGGCCCTGCGTTGTTCCTGGTCGAAGGTATTCACAACCTGTAAGGAGCTTTATTGGCAACGAGGCGAACTTATGAATGTAGGTGTACGTACGTTCCAAAATGCTACAATAGTAGGCTCATTGGGGTCATATAGTCCGCCGTATTTCGTGTTGGCTTTGAGATCATCTAAATCGATAGGTGAGTTGACACCTCCTAATAGAATTTGCAACTCTTGCTGATTGAACATTCTGGAAATCCCAAGACACATTAGTTAACAAATGTCGGCGGTTTAGAACAACATCAGGGTTGGTCAAACAAATATGCCACTATGGATCTTTCTGATCCACAAGACAACTTGGGAAAGTTGGCATGAAAGAATATAAAATGCGGGGCAACATGGCCACATATTGAATACTTTTGCACAACAATATAAGAAAACTCACCGAATCCATTTCGGTTCAATCATTTCAGAAAGACCCTCGAAAAATGATTCACTTTGCATTTTGATTTGTTTGCTCAGCTTGAAATGGCAAACCAAGTAGATGTATTGAAGCCGATTTTCCTTAGTCACCGCAATGCTGGATCCATTGCGAATTAGGTCGATGGTCCGTGTCGTCCCAAATTCTGGATATGATGGTGAGGCAGACCCAAACCATAATTGGCGCGGATCAAATACCTTCAACTTCGACTGTGAAGTTCAAGCTTAAGTCTTCAAAATCACCGGTGTGGTGTTTAAGGAACACCAGTCCTTTGTACAGATCGGGATCCAACGAGGCAAGATCATCTAAGAATGATTGCCGACCAAGCCACTATCATCGGGAAAAAGTCTGAGATGCAAGTGAAAGCCTCAGGAATGAGGGTACATACTTTGGCCAAAAAGAAACCCGCAAAAGCGACATCAACTAAAATCCCTTCGTACATCGCTTTTCCCAAAATGCGACCGATAAACCGATACCAGCTCAGGCTGTGAGCTAGTGTACCATTAACTGAATAACATAATTGTGATGTTCATGATTGGAAGCGTACCTTCAGTGGCGTACGCATGCGGGTTAGGGTAAAGTTCATTCTTCTCATTACTCAACCAAAGTCCTCGATCGGTGTCAAAGACCTCCTTACACAAGGAGGTGAAGAATTCTTTGAAGACTCCACCACCGTCTATACCGGCTCTAGATAGAAGCAGACGACTCAGTCTCGACTACTCCAAGAACGAGAGGTACATAGCAGAAGACAACTGAACTTACTCCTCTGCTCCGAATTGGTCGATGAACACGATCTGAATAGGATTCTTCAGATCAGCATCTCCCAAATGATCAAATCCGTCTTGCGCAACACTACCGCGGCGTATCGTTACAGTCTGCTGTCCGGCACTAAATGCGTTTCTCATATCATTCATGGCGTTGAAGCTTGCCCAAGGATTGACAGGTTGAGTGGACCGCTAGACAAAAACATAGAGCATTAGTACGAGGCAAAGATTGCTAACTGTATCTGTATTGAGCACTTACTGAGCGAGAAGTCCTTCGGCCTGCGAGGTCCATGTGAATAAAGTTTCTGAAAATAGCCACCCGAACATGGAATGGAATGGCAAAGGGGATATTGTTCAGGACACCTAATCGAGGCGAAAGATAATTTAGCTTTCGCTTCGAGTAAGCAGACGACGCGCTAGGTGCATGAGATCTAGGCCCACGACGTGGTGAGCTAACACTATCCATGACACCGTCTTCCAGAGATGCTTCAAAGTCATCCATAAGCTCTTGAGCTTCAAAAATAGCTGCCTCAACAAATCCTGCCATCTCCGGTGTGAGATGCATACCTTCACCATGCGGAGTACCATCACTTTCGGCATCATTCAAAACCAACCAACCACCCGTCGGCATAAATGGTTTACGAGCGTCACGAGCATTAATAGCGAGAAGACACTTAGTGACCTTTCCGCGAATTTCGAGCCATGTAAGTCGAACTCGGGGATTAGGTACAGCTGAAGTAAGAATGGAAGGCAATGGATCGATCTCTAAATCACCACCATACATCCACAGAGACCAAGCAATGTTCAAGAGTTGCCGTGTAAAAGTGGAGATTTCATCCAACGTGAGTGGGTTCCGGTGCGCGGCACTTGACCTAGTCCCTATCACAGTTGAATCGGAAGAGAAGAACTCGTCGTCACCCATAGTTATCAGACCATGAGAATACAGATCTGCGAGAAGGAGTAATGGTGCCCAAGGGTCCTCGTCAGCATTAGGTGCTGCCATACCACGAAGCCTAGCAAGAGAAGTTATGGTTGGTTTCAACGGCTCCAAATGACTCAAACGAGATGTGACGACGTTGGAACTTGCATTGTGATCTACATCCATGTCACCGGAAGCTTTAGGATCTAATGAGACTAGGTTGCTTCCTAGTCCTCCACCTCTAACCCAACCTCTCCAAATTTCCCTCACCAATCCTCCGCCGTTCCATGACCAAAGATGAGCAAGAATGTCATTTTGCTTTGAAGGCCAGACACCATAAATGGCGTAAATGAAGGTTATGAGAGGGTAGCGCGAAGAGCCAAGAGATTTGGAAGCGGACAGGATAGATGTGATATGTGTTGGGGATGGGAGGTTAAGAAGTCTCTTCAGTGTACGAGAGTCAAGGATAGGGAGGGCAGGGGGGGCTGAAGTATTGAACGATGAGACTATAGAGACGCGAATGTTTGTATGGTCATCGTCCGAGTCTGAATTATAGTCATCAGAAATCCTCGTTCCAACCGCGGAAGAAGTCGCAGACGGGCCCTCGAGAGCACCAGGAGGAACGATGTTCAAGACATCCCCCAGAAGCCGCAAGTAAGCGGCTAGTGAAGGCCCTGGAAGCTTGCTATACCGAGGAGGCGTGAATGCAAGGAGATTGGCAATTAAATGAATTTTAGCACCAAGTGCGTCTGTGTTTGTCATATCGAGAAGGAACTCGGACAAAGGAGACGGCGTATTGGAATTATCACCAGAAGGCGTAGCGTACAGGACATTCATCTTCGTCAGAGGGAGATGGGAAGATAAATATGTAAGAGTGTGTAGGGGCAGGCGATTGGGAAGGAGGGGAATAGTCAGAAGATGAATGAATAGTCCTTGCATTGCCAATGTGTATTCAGCAGAGGGTGCTTCGAGAGTAGAAAACGGGAGTGTGGATAGCGTAATGAGCAGAGGTAAAGCAGGCGCAGACTTCATCTCAACAGGCTTGACGACGATGAATAGCCAAATTTGGATGATGATAATAGAAAGAGGTACGAGACGCACGAGATCAGACTGTGAAGGAATGAAAATTAGAGAAGGGTGGACTTACGATCATGTGTATTGAAGAAGCCAACAGCGAGTAGAATCCATGCGAAAGCAGGTATGCCATGAACTCGTTTGCTATTCTACGACGACTGAACGATGAGCCGGTTTCAGGCAGGGATAAAAGGAGTGAATTGAGAAGATCAAGATGGGCGACCGAACGATCAAGCCTGGCCAACACAGCAAATTAGAATGGACGCGCGCAAGTAGCAGGGTTGATACTTACTGAGCATTACGTGCTACTTCCTGCAGTAATAGCAACAACACTTGTTTGAGCAGCACCATATAACTTTGACCAGCATCATTTGATGGAGCGAAGAGATCATAGACACGATCTGAAGAGCAGTATATTAGCTCAATACTAAGTCGAGAGAAACAACACTGATCCAACGCACCAGAGCCATATTGAATGAGATTTCTGGACCATTTACTAAGAGTCGTGTCTGGTGTCTGCTTCCGATTAACAACGACTAGCATGCGCAGAGTGTTTAGTCGCAACAATTCTCCCTTGTCTAACGCTTCCTCAAGATTCCTTCTGAGCTCCAGCCGTACTCGCTGCTGCTCTTTCGTCCCGCGCCACCATGCTTGCACCTTCACGGCACTATCCGTTCGTCGTTTTTGTTCTATTCGTTCTTCGCGCCTGAGCTTTGCCTGGTCAAGAATAGAGGAATGTGAGGTGGAAGATGATGCGCCACCAAGATTAATCTGCCGACGACGACGGTCGGTGTCAAAAAGCGGAAGCATCGGGATTATGTAGAATGGTTAATGCGAAAGGTTTGGGTCAAAAAATCTAGGAATATCCCTTTACAGTTTGGAATCACAATGTCAGTATCTGTGTCGCGATTATCTTCAGAAGAATGTCAGCAAGCACCAAGTAGAGAGTTTCAAGTAGGAGTACAGATTCAGACTGCACTGAATCTAGAAGATGGACGAACTTTGAAGAAGCTTGAGGCCGCGTACTTTCTTGCGCCATACTAATACAGGCACGTGAATCATGACGCAAGCTTCAGCATCCGTTTATAAGCGCTTGAATATCTGTAGCGCCCTATACGGCTTTTTGGCTATCTTAGATCTCGGACAAGGAACGTCAAGAAACCGCAAAAATGCCGAATAAAACGAAGGTACCTCTTGGTGCGGGGTCGCACAACGCAAGATAGCTTCAAAGCAGCTTCAAAGTATTATTATATGAGAGTAAAGAAAAATTCAATAAAATAAAACTAGCGCCAATAAGCCTCAATAAGCTTAAGCTTTCTTGACGCCAACAAGGCTAAGTCACTTATGCGCAGCGGCGACTATGTACACGCAACATATTTGTGCACTTGAGAGGAAAGTAGCACTGAAAGGGCAGAAAATCTACATACGTAGGATATGAGAACGGATCATAGCATTTCACCTGTGACTAAGCTTGCCTTTGAGAATAAAAGTTGATCAAGATGACTGGGAACCGCCAAAATGACTCACTGTCCTCAAGCAAAACTGATTCGACCCGGGCTCGAACCGGGGACCTTCTGTGGGCGAGTGTTAGACAGATGCGATAACCAACTACGCCATCGAACCGTATTTACTGTAAGCTGTTGCCCATCTATAGAGATATCAACCAGGGCGCAGTGAGTACTCTACAGAATTACCTTACTTACATTTCGAAGATACTTATTAACCCAGTCGTGAGTCGTGCTTTCCGACGCTTTCTGCTATAACCCATGCGCATTTCTTCGCATTGTGCACATCCAGAGATGCACCGTGTTGAGGAGCCGTCGCAATTAAGCACCAAGAATCCTCTACGTCCCTTGTCGGATCTCGCAGCGGAGGTCTCACGTCCGTCCGCCCTGTTTGAGCTTTGAGAGAAATATAGGATACTGGCGCCCAAGTACATGCGTGACTGAAGATGCTCAGAAAGTCTGGGCGGTCCGTCTGTAGGGATTGAACGAGATGGTGACTATTAAAATTAGATTTGTCTCAGTCTTAAACTCAATTGGACGACACGACGTACGACATAAATTCCACCAATGATTGAACAAATAAAGGCGCGATGAAACCTGACCATTGTAGGTGAGTAACAGTCCCAACACGCGTAGGCGATGGAGGCTGGTAAACCGCGACGAAGGGATCGACCCGGTCATTAGCATTAAGCCTGAGCCTTTAAGGTCAACGGAAGCTACAAATCAACGAATGGTCCTACCTTGTGGCGCCAAGCCCAGCCATACCAACCCACTCAAAAAGACCTTCCATCGTCTCACACCAATCTTCGTCCTCCTGTTGATTGAGCCCCAACTTATTCTGAGGCCGAGGAGTCAATCGCACAATAGGAACGTGGACATCTTCCAAAACAGCCTTCTGATAGCGTACTGATACTATTTCGAAGGGGGCGGCAACTTGATCCTTGACGAGAACTTGTAAAGCGGTATCAAGCTCTGAGGGGTCACTATTTAGACACTGTATGAACTGAAGTACGCTATGGCACATACCTTCGGGAGACGTGGACTCTGAGAAAGCAAGAACGTTCCACAACGATGATCCTATCTCCTTAGCTCTTCGTTCTTCCCACCGTTTCAATGCTGCCTCCCGATGTGCCCGAATCTTGACGGATTCAGCATCCTTCGCGTATAACGGAATCGATATCACTACACTGAACGGGTTGCTGATTAGTGTTATTGCGTACCTAGGCTGGTGAGAGAAGAAGAAATAGCGAGAACACACACCATGTCTTCCGTCACCTTGCTTCGACTTGCCTTTGCCAAACGCCACGCGCTTGCCTACCAGACCCAACTCATTATAGGTATCTTTACAAACAGACAGTGTCAAGACACCTCGATAGTCGATACACCATACATCTTCTTCCTTATGAGAAAATTTAGGTCCTGAGCCTGCGCTTAGGAATGAAATACCGCTAAAGATGCGTCAGAAGGGAAGGGACTGGACAAAACCGTAGAATAAACTACATACCTTCGCGTAGAATATTTTTCGACGAAGTTTACACCCTCCGTGAAAATTTTGGAAAGAGAAATTTTTCCTTTTGCGTACTGAGGAACCTTCAAGGAAGTGGACAGGGCAATTTCGAAGGATGCATTCGATGGAAAGAGCAAGTCAATCTGTGTAAGAAAAATGGTCAAGAAAACGGACGGTGATGAGATGAAAAACAACTTTCTTGCTGAGTAAAGGGATGACAGCGAGCTTCGTTTTGGAGTTTTGCATCCAGGAAGTCGAGTCCGGTGAATATTTCAACGCGACGATGGTCGAAAGTCATTACAAAAAAGAACTTACACTCACTGGTTGGAGCGCTTTTTCAGGCTTTTTCGATGAGTGACCCATGACAAAATCCTGATAAGATCTTTTTGGACGTTTATTATTTTGGCAGAAAAGCTACGAATAATTTACACGACTAAACGATTAATGTGCGTCTGTCTAATGTTTCTAACATACACATGAGATTATATGAAGCACCAGGTTCCACAAAAACAACAAAACTTCTAAACGACAGGAGCCTTCAGGTATTTGCGCCGGAATTTACTGTCAATGCTGTCAAGGTAGTAGGCTCCAGGCCAGATGTTATCAATGGAACCTTCGGGAACGTAGTCTTTCGCATTGTGGTTCTTTTCGCGAAGCTAAAACAAGATCATCAATATCATTTCAAGAAAAGGTGTGAAATATCAATGAGGCTCACGTTCAAGGCATCGACGAAGTCTTGGCAGGGAACAACCTTGATAGCTGCCAACCGATTTGTCAAATCCATTTTCTCCCTCATCTCGGTGGTGTCACCCTTCACCTTGATGGTGAAGAAACTGGCGGCACACCCAGAGCCGAATGAGTAGAGCGACACACGCTTGCCCTTGAACGAAGAGGGCTCAACGTTTGCAATCAACGAAGCCAAGCAACCATACAAACTAGCAGTGTACATGTTACCAAGCCGTTTAGAGCAAGCCATTCCAGGGTCGACTTGGGCTTTGAAAGAAGCCTTGCCGGCAGTGATGAACGCTTTCTCGAGGTTCTTGTCGGAGAGAGAGGCTTTTTGGGATAGGGTACGGAATGCCTCGGCGTCGGCGATGTTGGCGAATTTGGATGAGGTTGGAGATGCAAGGAAGTCATTGTAGAGCATACGGGCATGTCCTTTGACAGCTTGTTTACCGTATGGGCTGTGGAAAATGGCATAGTCGACAGAGTCGATGGAGAAGCTGGGCTGACCGCTGATGCCTGCCCGTTTTGCGAATCGCGCGACCTTTTCGCGATAAGCGTTGTAGGCAAAATCAAGTGCCGAGGTATAAGTGACAACGGATACGGGTCCGTCGACTTCGGGGTATTCAGAGGTAAGATTGGGCTTGTAAAAGTCGTAGGTGTTTGACATGTGAGTCCCGTGTACGGCTACAGGGCAATAAGCAAACAAAATAAGACTCGGGACAAATCAAACGCACGTTCAAGAGCGAGAGGAGCATTGGGACCGATGAGCATAGCAACAGCGCCTGCACCACCAGCAGGTCGAGCAGGGCCCTCAGCGTATACTGCAATATCACCAGCAACAACGATTGCGTTCCTGCCATCCCACGAGGTGGACTCGATCCAGTTGACAGCGTTGAAGAGCGCTGCAGTACCGCCGTAGCAGGCGTTCTTAGAATCGATGCCCTCAATGTCACCGTTGCCACATTCGGTGAACAAATCCATGAGATGGGTTTTGACTGATTTTGACTTGTCAATGATAGTCTCTGTACCGACGTCGATACGCCCGATGGATTTAGGGTCAATTTTGTATTTCTCGAGGAGACCAGAGACGGCTATAACGAAAGAGGTGAGCAACAATGTATAACATCATTGAAGAAAAACGTTGCGCACCATTCAACGCGAAAGAGTTGATATCTTCACGGTCGTCAGGCCAGGCCATGTATTCCTGACCGAGACCAATTGTGTATTTGCCCTTCGACACACCGTCGAACTCTTCCAAGTCGGCTTCGGAGATGGCCTATGTTGAATAAAACAATGAGAAATCAAAACAATAAACTGAGAGAAAGAACAAAAGCATACACGAAGGGGAAAGTAGACTTCTATGCCCAGGATACCAACATCCTTGGGACGAGGAATTTCGACTTCGAGGGGTGTAACAGGGATTGTCATGATGGTCGGCTTAAGGAAGGTTTGAATGAACGTTTAATCGAACACGGATGATTTTATAGTAGACGGATATGAAACAGAGTAAAAATATATGGTACGATACCAAAAGTAACTGCAGGCGCGGTATTATTTTTTACGCCATATGTAAATTTTGCTTCCGACTCGTGACTTCTAGTTCTTGTTTCTATTGTTCTCCAGCAACTACAGAACAATACAGTACCCGGTTTTACCTCGCGATATCCTTCATATTCTGGTAAACTACTTCGAACACTTCGTCCTGCGTCGTTGCTGGATCCTACTGGACGAACGCTACTTGCTGGTCGAATGAAATTCTGAGGAAATTCCCAATCGGTGTTGCCTTGCGTCGCCTCATTCCTTCAGCTACATAGCGCGTGTTTGATTGGGACATAATAAACTGCGCTGGTATCGGCTGCTCTTCTGCTCTACCCTGTCCTACTCTTCTCTCTCGGAATCTCTAACCCTGCATAATGATAACGGATGATTTTTGTGGCTGCTCTTGGCGGCCGCTGCATCTTCCGAAAGATCGGCACGCAAATCCTCTCGTGGAACGCCTCTACAACCCCTCATAGTATATCGATGTGACTGCTAATGTACCTACAAAATATATCTATGGTGCTTCTTTCTCGCCATCTGTTCTCTCGAGCAAAATCGATGACCTGAAGGTCCTCAATTCAACGCCCACCCGATCTGTGTAGTAGCATCCCTCTATAGTTTTAGTGCTTTATTTTCCGTGCCAGATTCCGGCCGCCAGGCGTGAACACATCCCCACCGTAACATTTGCCCTTTCCAGAATCCGCACCCTCCGCATCTCATTCCCGGTTTCTAAATTTCCCGCAAATGATTGATTTATCGAATCTGTCAGTTACCATATAGCTTTCTTCGTCTCGATATTCCCGACTCCGTGAGACCAGCTACATATATCGTACGAACATTCCGTCGTGGCAGGATTCATTGCAAGGTGAGAAATACGCTATGAAGATGATCCTATATTGTTGTGTTCGTGAGCAGAGGGCGGTTATTCGGAACTACCTTCGCGATGTTGTGATGCCTTCTCGACTATGCTGTAATGAGCCTAGGGAGGAACTTTGAGAAGGAAATTGGTATTTGTTGTTTGTAAGACAAGATGGTTGTACATGGTCAGTTAGTACTTTAGTCACATCTGCAAAACCTGGATGTTTGCCAGAGCAAGGATACTGGCTGGACATGCTCTCCAGCTATTGACTGAAAAGCTAGATTTTACAGATTGGCAGGTTGGGGGTGGAGGTTGTGGGCTGTCCTCTGGCTGTCCATTGAAACCAGATTGAAACCTATTGAGACTCGAACTACCGGCGATTATTCGGCCTTTGCGCTTACTTCAGTTGAACTTAACTTTCATGCTTGCGTTTCGCTCTTTGTCAGTAACTCCAGTTTATCTTAGGGAGGGACTGAGTGTGTAGAGG